ACACACACACACATATATCATCATATATCTATATATGTAATACGCACTCACACACAGACAGATCCATTATTTATAGAACATGCCTCGTGCCTGCCAGTCACTTGCTGAGACGAGTCCCATGATTTCCCGAGACCACTGCTCTCAGTTTCAATATTTTGCTTTGACACTTCAACATGGCAGAAATATGGAGAGGCCGCGGGTAATGAACCAGTGACAAAAGCAAAGTGCCGGCAGTAGTGGGGACAGCAGTCCAAGTAGGACACCCAAAAGGAACCACCATATCCACCACAGCAGTGAAGGTTGTCCCACCAGGAAGGGCTGCAGCTGCTTGCTGAAAGAACTATGTGCATCTATGTACATATATCTACATATGTATATAGATATATACACTTCTCATATTTGTTTATTTGTTTATGTTTTTTAAAATCTATTTAGGTAGAAAATGCATCGTGCCAGTCACTTGCGGAGACTAGTCCTTTGATTCCACAAGACCACTGATTTCAGTTTCGCTAGCTTGTCTTGACATTGCAACAGGGAAGAAATACACAAACACACACTTAGATGGTTGCTCGCAAGAGCTAGGTTCAGAGTGAAGTCCCACTTTAGGTGATTACATTGCCAGCTGCATTGTAGACCTTGACTTGCAGGAACCGAAAGAATGCTGGGTCAGAATACCAGAAATGTTGAACATGGGTGAGACGATGGGTTAAAAATTGAAACTCGCAGGTACGTGACTCTGGCGTCCCAGAGTCATGTTACAACACGATGGAAGGGTCTTCGTTGGGCAATGCCTTCCAAAGTGTTCATTGCGCCCCCCGCCTCTTTTTGCTCGCGCTGTTAAAATTAGTTTTACAAGCTAGACACAGTGTGCGGCCTTGGAAACAGGCTTTGACACACACACACACCACGCCGATATCGGCGCTCAGACGAATTACTAGCCACCTAACAAGCCTTAGAAAGACAGAAAAAGAAAAAGAACAAAAAGCAAGCGAAGAGGGCAAGAGAGAAAGGTAGGGGTAGTGCCGAGGCCCCCTAGTTACTGGACCTCTAGTTACCGCCGTTACGGTTAAAATTTGTTTCTAAACTTGATAATGTGTGCAGCCTCAGGCTGTGACACACACATACACACATCACGCCGATGGCGGCGCGGAAGGAAAGTACTAGCCACCTAACAAGCCATAGGAAGAAAGAGAAAGGAAAGACAGAAAGAGCAAACGAAGAGGGCAAGAGAGAAAGATAGGAGTAGTTACGAGGCCCACTAGTTACGAAGCCTTCTAGTTACACGAATTAAGTGCAATAGTTAGCCAGCGGGACTTTAGTCTTAGACCGCCCGGCAGCTAGGACTAGGACAGGAGAAACAGAAGGAACAGCGCCAACGCACAAGTGTGTTGAGTGCGATTTCCTTCCGTTACCCAAGATAGCGGGTGGGATAACAACCAAGGCCAGGGGCAAGGAGGTAGGGGGGGAGGGTGGGTTAGGGTGGCCCGAAGGCATTGCCATCATTGGCGTTCAAAGCCGCATTCGGCGCTCTTTGACTGAAGCCTAAAGAAACCTAGAGAAAGGCCTCAAGAAAACGAAAAGCAACTGCAGGAAAGAAAAACAAAACGGACCAAAAAGTCACTCACGTTTCTCGCTCTCCTCCGGTCTGTGGAGACTTAGCAGCATCAAGTGAAACCGCGTTCGGCGCATCTTGCCTCCAGAAAACGAAAAGCAAAAGCAGGAAAGCAAACCAACCTGGACCAAAAATCCCACTCTCTCGTTTCCCGCTTTCTTCCGGCCTGTGAATACCTAGCCGTGTGCTATGTACAGGTGGCTACTTAGCTGCGTGCAAGAATCCTGGCTGGAATTTGATCTCAGTAAGCCCTGCGGCATAGTATCAATGGTATCGTGCACAGCTGTCAATCAAAGGAAATCACAAAGAAGTCCCGGAAAGAAGACGAGAAGTCAAGGAGGGTCCCCCAGGACCTGGGTCTATGCACATGCAGCGCCCCTCGGTGGGGATCACACCACAGCCCTCAGCAAGACTCTGTGGCGACACAGATGGTTGCTCGCAAGAGCTAGGTTCAGAGTGAAGTCCCACTTGAGGTGATTACATTACCAGCTGCGTTGTAGACCTTGACTTGCAGGAACCGAAAGAACGCTGGGTCAGAATACCAGAAATGTTGAACATGGGTGAGACGATGGGCTAAAAATTGAAAAGCTCGCAGGTACGTGACCCTGGCGTCCCAGAGTCATGTCACAACACGATGGAAGGGTCTTCGTTGGGCAATGCCTTCCAAAGTGTTCATTGCCCCCCCGCCTCTTTTTGCTCGCGCTGTTAAATTTAGTTTTACAAGCTAGACATTGTGTGCGGCCTTGGAAACAGGCTTTGACACACACACACACAGATATATATATATATATATATGTATGACGAGCCGGGTAGCAGTCATTTGATCCGACTATCTTTGGGTCGGATCATGTAAGCAATACATACAGATTTTTGCACCCACTCCCACCTGCATCATCTATACTGGAGTGCCTTCTCCACTTGTAGCGGTTCATACGTTCCACGACCTACCCGGGCCCTGCCCCAGTAATGCCGCAAAAAATGTAAGTTACCGGGGCGGCAGACGGACCACGAAAGAGAACAGCATTTTTTTCATCACGCCATGTTCCTGCGTTCTAGTGTTGTGGCCGTTCGTCGCGCCAGTAACCCATATTTTTGGGGCTATTACCGGGGCGGGGCCCGTGGCCCAAGGCCAACGACAACGGCCCAAATACAGACGCAGAAAAATGCACCTTTCACCCCCTGACAGGTCTTGAAGAGGCTGACCTGGGCGCTTTCTGATGGGGATTGACCAGCTTTTGTTGGTTTGCATCTATTATATACTGAAGCAAACCGGTTCCATGTGTATAGTGCGGAGTACCTCCAAGGAAACCTGGAAACCTTTCCTAACCAACGCGTCCCCGTCACCTGCGTATTCCTCCTGGCTTTCGTGTTCCCCGTCTCAAGTCATGCATCAACCGGGCATTTTCACTGCCATCCATGCAGGCATTTTCCGGACGTAAAACCATCATTTCAGACTTTGTCCGGGGCAGCGCAGGTGCGACCCATCACCTTTCTAACTATATGAAGCAAGGAAGACGATAGGCTATCAACCATCACTATTGACCATGGACGATCCCTGTTGAACCCATCACTTCTTCGGTGCGAAGCTGGTGGACCAGTGGAGATGAGGTTTGCCTCTTCACCACGCTGATGCTCTTGGAGTTGCAGGGGCATCGCAGGAGTGTGGACATCAGTTGGCTGATCTCCAAGGCGGAGAAAACGTGCAGCGGAGAAGCCCGGCGGACGGGAGTTCCACGAGTTGGTGGATGTGGATGGATGATCCGATGGATATGGATCGTCCAATTCTTGTTGAGGGGATGGTGGATGGTGTGGGGTGGAGAATAATCTCGACGTAGGATTGATAACCCCCCCCTTCAAGGTCAACAAGGCTTGAGATTTGAGGTATTGAGGAGGACATCCCCCTAATAAAGGTGATTGACCAGAAGATAATGGAGACTAGCTAAAAGAAAATATAAGAGAAGTATGTGCCCAGGGATTTCTGCCCAGGGATCTATTTTTTTTGGGGGCAGCTGGGATTGATTAATTGGGGAGGTGTCTGCCCAGGAAAAAGTTATTAGGGGGATGCCACGGCGGAAATCTAGGTTTTAAATTAGTTTAGTATTGGGGGGATCGAGCTGGGATTGATTAATGGGGGGTGGTTACTTAATCCTATGTCAACATTAATTTGGCATCTGTTGTTTGGTCCAAGAGAGTGATTTCGGGCCAGTACTGAGAAGGAACTTTTGGATCAACGAAGTGTTTAGACCACTTTAGCAATTTTGGGTGCCGAGCTGAGCTGGTTGATAGAGGTGCTGTTGTGCTCCCATGGGAGAAAGGGAAGACCTTGACAGACCTGAACACAGTTGCAGCCTCACACAGAAGAGCAGCAGGTGCTGTTGTTGAGGTTCGGGCATTGGCGAGCTGGGTATGCATGCAAGAAAAGAAGTCAAGCGATGAACTGAGATCTCGGACAGAAAAAAGGAACTTATGTTCTTTCAACTGTACCATACAGCACCTCATATCTGTTCGAGATTCAAGAGGTTGGTGCAATGGTCAATGTCACAAAAACCAGAGAAAACACTGGGACATTTTCCGTCGCAATGAACACCTCTGGAATTCTCCAACCGCAAAGAACGCCGGCTGTGAAATCACGAACGCCCGGCCTCCAACGTCCAACCTCCCCATGCCCAGCCGCACCCCGCCCAGTCGCGCAGCTGTGCCGTCCTCTGCCGGCCAGGGCGTCTCGGTCTACATGAGCCGCACCTTGCCCTGCATCACAGTCTTCCTCTTCGGCGGTGGCTGGTATGTGCGGTCCATCAGTTCTCGCAGTTCCCGGGGCGCGTGCTAATCACGGGGTCAGACATGGCCAGACATGGCGACGTGATGCGGATGTGGCAATCTGGAGGGGGTCTTCTAGGTTCAAGGAAGAGGTGGAAACACCAGCCGGATGTTCAACATGGAGAATGCACCTGCACTTCCTAAACTGCCGGATGTTTGACCTGTTTGACGTCTCCAAGACTTGGTCCGATGCTTGAACGCCCCCCTCGGCCCCACCACACTAGCCTCCACTTCATTGCTTAGCTTTGAAGGGCTGCCTCCCAGACAGAAGCATTTGGTGCACCACAGCGTTCTGTCATTGTAGACGTTCGTTTCCGTGGCTTGGACTTTGAGACTGCTGCAGCCTGCTTGACAATGACATGTCATTAGATCCACTTGCTGCTAACTTTCTTTTTGTATCAGGAATGCCTGCAAACTTTAACCTGCCACATTCTGGACACTGGACGATGGGTTGCTTCAACTCTACAGAAGCTTCCCAAGCTGCTACACATGCGGTTCTTTGGTCCACAGGGAGAAACAGAGGAATACAAACCCTCGCATGATTTCCCTCTTAAGCAACTGCAGTGAGTACTTGAACCTAGAGAAGTAACATGGCACCACTGCAGAACATCCGCTGTCTTTGGTGCAAAACATCTTCCGCACTTTTCACGTGATTTTCCGCGGGTCTCTGAGGTTTACGTGGCTTCGGGCTTCGGCACCCTGATCTGCTTCATTGCAGGTGCCACGCTGCGCCTCGACCGGAAGAGAAGTCGGGACGAGCCGTCGGTGGCGGGACGGGTCGGCCGACGAAGTTGCGTGGGGTTCATTTGACTTTCATAGAGTGTCATCATTTTTGTGTCGTTTTGGCCACTTACAATCCTCAGATATTTTGTGTCGAGCAGTTTTTCTGGGTGGGTACATTCTTGGGACTGGATTACAGCAAGGTGTGCTGGTTGGATAGTCAACCCTGGTATATAGCTCTTTTTGTTTATGACCAGGCAGTCCGGACACCCAAGAAGATGCCCCGTTTCTCGAAGGACGCCATGCAGCTCAGCTTTTTCATGAGTGGTGGCTGTGGCTTCTTGGGTGTACTCGCTACATGCAGCTGCATCCATTTCTAGCCAACATACACGGTTTGATGGTCTCACTTGATGTATTATTGGGGCTGCGGCCGCGTGTGACCAATGACGGTCGTCCTCCATCACTGCTTCATGCCTGACTTCCACAATGGCCGCGCCCTGCGCCCCGCGCCGCTCGCGGTGGGCGTGGGCGGCGTGCCCCTTGCCCAGGAACATGGTGAGCGCCAAGGCGACCGAGGGAAGTGGCGATGTTCCCATGATGAAAGACAGTAGGACGGTGGTTTCAGGTGATTTCGATGTTTTGGACCTGCCTGGTGCAACGAATTCTTAAGCGATCGATTGAAGAAAGGACATGAACCTGGGTGAATGGAGAGAAGGGACTTGGGGTGGTTGGCATCTTCGTAGGACTTCCGATGACCAGTCCGATCGGGTGCGCGTCGTGTCGAGTTCGTTCGGAGTCGAAGAAACCAGTGGAGTCGGTCGGTGTTGGGTTGGATAGTAACCCCTGGTTCCGAGACCCACATGGAACCTCAAAACCACTGGGGTTGGTGTTCGGAACATCGTCTTCCAAAGATTCATGCCATCAGGTTCCATGAGTTCCATGTGAATGAATCTTTCCGGGTGCACTGGATTCAGTTCGTTTGCCCCAACCGTTCCTCAAAAGGATCATAAAACACCCTTCAACAGCTCTGTCTTGCGTCTCTTGGAGGGTGCGGGGCTCCCTAATGGATCGATTTTTTGCATTGGGGAGAACCCCAACATGTGACCAGGAGGCAGTGGGTCAAAACCTGCCAGCTCCATTTGCTAGTAGTTTGACTGGTGACTGGTGACTCAGGACCCAAAAGCGTTGTTGTCGCCCCCGTCACCAGCAGCTTGGCAGCTCGGCAGCTCGAGTCGGTCGGTGAGGTGGGCGTGAACACCTGCATGGCCAGCACTGCAAGGATGGCCTATGCGACTTGGAGGGCCAGGTGTGGAGGTGTGGAGAGGGACTCTGGGTTTCTTCGTCTCAACTTCTGTGACATTCGTGCTTCTGGTGATTTCTAGGTGTCTAGATTTGGTACAACGAATTGTTGTTGCCAATTGGTTGGGCTACGTTATTTTCCGTGTTTCTCCCTTCAAGGCCTTTTTTTTTGGTCTCCGCATCGTGAAGGCTTTTCCATGCTGGTTTGCAAGACGGTTTTCCACGCTGGCCGACTGCGGATCATCTGGCTCGTGCCCTGCAGATCGGTTCATCTTTGGGAAACGGCCAAGCAGCCCTCCTTTTGAGAGCTCTTCACAGAGACCTCACTAACCAATCTCTTGCAGGAGGACCTGGTGGTTTGTTCCCTTTGCAGGGCCCTCAAAGGGCCCTCACACGTTTGGGACCGACGCCCGTCTGAGGCGATGGGGGAGGGTCTGGAGGTGTCGGTGACGCTGGGCATGCGCAGTGGAGCCATTGGAGGTTTGCTCAGCACCAGCTTAGGCCTAGGCGATAGTGGGTGAGGGCGACAGCGTGTGTGGGCCTGGAGCGTGGAGCGTGGGCAAGGTGAAGAAGTTATTTTGTTGAAGTAACTATATACACTTTTGCAAGTGGGTGCTAGGGATTTGGGAGGCTTCAACGAGACATTCATCGCTTCCCCTATGCTCCAGGCACTAATAGGCTCTGCCAGTCCAAGCCTTGTAGTGTGGACGAGGAGAAGCATGTCAAGCGCCCACCTGGTCGACCAAGGAATCCATGTGAAGTCGGGGGTTGGTCTGAATCGGTTGAATCAATCACCAGCCCCACAATTAGGCTTCTGTCAAGGGGTGTGCTACTTACTACTGTTGACGGCCTCCTTTTGGGCGTTCCCAATTCATCCAACCCATTTCAAGGGCCAACAATTGCCTACCACCATCAACAGCTGTGCGCCAGACGGGGCTCATGCACCGCTGTGCACCACTTTGTACCGCTGTGGTCGCAGGTGGCATGGCCCTGATGTGGCTGCTCACCTTAGACACCACCTCGCTTAGCGGCTTCGGCTCAGGTGGGGGGCTGCCGCTTCGGCAGTCTGGAGGAGAGCAGGTTGTAGAAGGTGATGCCGTCGTGAAGAACCAGGTTTTGGGCTCCAAAGATTCCATTATGAGACCATTTGGGGTTCGAAGTCAGTAATTCAGGAGATGTCATTTCTTTTCAACCAGATCTTTCACCCCAGTTCTCATTCCGATTCAAGATCTATTTCCGCACCCGGGCCCTCCGATGTCCGCCTTCCGGCGCGATGCGGGCGACCGGTGATGAGCGATGGATCCAGGCGCCTCGCTGGTGTCCTTCTACCTGCGCGTGGGGGGCGGGATCTTCTCGAAGGGCGCGGAGATTGGGGCGGACTTGGTGGGTGAGATGTCTGAGAAGAAACTGGATGAAGAGAGGCGGGGGCTGAGAGTGACCTGACAAGCGAGCGTGCAGTGGCCGCGAGTCTGGTGAGAGAAGGGAGACTTGAAGTGGAGTGGGTTGAGTGACCGCTTGGTGGAGGGGTGGACTGAAGTGGTGGGTGGTTGCGGATGTTGAAGAGAACATTGGCTGATTAGCTAGCTTGGTTGGTTTGGGTATTTTTGACTTGGTGTGAAGTGAAATTGAGCAAGTAAGACTACCAGGCGATTTGAGACTACGTCATCTATGATTTCCGCTGACTTCCGATGCTTTGGGAAAGGCCGGTGCCTTCCTTTGATGTTTTTTCCTCGGACCTTCCGGATCTCTTTCGACCGCACTGCCCTCACCGCCCAGGCGGGTCTACGAGTTGCAGCAGCGGATGGCGGAGATGGAAGCGCTGCGCCTGGAGCGCCGCAAGAAGGGCCTCGACGAGTTGGAGGCGGTGGATCCCGTCGGGGGGGCGACGCGTCGCGCGTGTGGACCCGTCCCCGTGGTGCGATCCGTTGCGGGGGGAAAGGGGGAAAGGGTGGATGGCTGCAGCAAGGTGGTGTCAGAGGGGTTTGGGCTGGGTGGTGGGTGGGAAGTTTTGCCGGCTTCCCCGTGAGGGGCCTGGTTGGGATTTCTAGTGGCAAACTGGGGAAAACACATGAAGAACCAATCTATAGCGCCAGAACGGAACCTAGTGATTGGGTGCGTTATATAATATGTTGGTGTTTGCTTGTTAGTTGGGAGAAGAGGTTTGCCAGTCTCGACATGTTTTGACCACCTTGGCCAGGAAGACATGATGGACAAGCTACGGATGATGGAGGAGGAGCCAGCGTTTCTACATGATTCGATCTAAAGATTGCCGCAACAGCGTGCAATCATCCAACTTGCGAAGATAAGCCAGCCCAAGCGAATCAATTGAACCTTTAAACTTTCGGGAGGGCGGAGGGCCTCACCATTTATCAGTTTGCGATGACCTAGACTGTACCCAGTCCCAAATGGTTGCACCCCACGTCGGAAGATGCATTGCCTGTAGGTCGGGGCAGGCAAATGGGATGAAATGGGATGAGATGTGTGTATCTCGAGAACCTGTCCCCAACCTCTGGATGTTCCATTGTTAGCCTCGATTGAGTTTCTGGGATTTTCTGGGATAATCAGTCACTATATAGGAGATGGAGGAATTCGATTGACAGGGCTCTGCGTTCAAAGCCACAGGAGTCTTTCTTGACATTCGCCACTTTCTAGACTTTACTTCGAACAACCGTCACCACATCAAGCCCATGCCTTTTTTCTTCCACTAAGAACAGACCGACCCTAATGCCCAAAAAGAGACGACGCGGCCGGGCCCCGGGTCTTCTTCAAATCATCCAACATCATCGCCCGCTCCGCCTTCATCGCCCCCTCAGCCTTCGCCCCCCATTCCACAACTTGCTCGACCTCGTGACCGTCGCCGTAGCCCGGTCACGCCACATGGCGCATTAGCGTCGTCGTTGGCCTCGCGAGGAGATGCAAGACATTGCCTCCTCGCTCCATCCCATCGACTACCTGGACGCCGTCGGGGAGAACATCTGCGACGTCAGCGGCACCTGCGCCGATCTCTTCGAGTCGATGGCCCCTTCGACGAACGGCGGAACGGAGCCAACCGGGGAAACATCCGATGTGACAAGTTGGAGCCAGCTGTGATCAGGTTTCGCCCCAAAAAATTAAGCCATCTGACAGATGGCACCAAAGAAACACATTTGAAGGTAGAATACCTAAAAAAGCACCATATTTTCGGCATTTTCAACCATTTGAGACGTTCCGCCATTTTTGAAACCGTTTTTCGGTCGGTTTTTTCTATGCCGTGATCACGGACTCAGGTCTTGATCCTGAGCCTTTCGCTCATCATCGGTGCACGAGGCGGGCCGGCCACATGCACAAAAGAAAAGACACGGCATGTGTGACACGAGACGTGTGGGTGTGTGAGTGTGCGAACACCTAAACATGCATATTTGTACACATGAAAGTAGGCTTCAAAAACACACAAACAGCATCAAACAGCCACACAAAAAAAATCCAATCTTCTTACTGTAAACCCTTGGATGACCACTCCCTTGGGTGACCAATCCCTTAAGATTCAAACACAAAAAAACACATTGAACCATCTGAAACAGAACATTTCTCCGGATTCCCGGACTCGGCTGATGGCCACCCGCTGATGTGATTTGGACTTCGCACTTTCGATGTTGAAACATGTCGAAACACCGGTAGCAGGCAACACACATGTATCAGACACACTCAATGACTAATGTACTAAGGACTATATAATTAATCCCTTTGAGAGTTATACCGCCACGGATGTTGGATGGAAGCTATACAGTAGTAGAGTTTGCTGTTCAAACGTAGGAAAGAGCAAGTGGAGAAAACAGTGACAACGCATGTGCTTCCAAGGTCTCATTGTTTTACTTTCTTGGTTGTGTCTTCCTCCACCTTTGCATCCAGCATCTGCTCTTATTTCTGTCTCACTACTTGCCCATTTTGAGCTGTTTGTAAATCCTTCCTTTATGACTATCAACAACACACTTTGAAGCAAACACCTGCCAAACAGTATGTTATACAATGTGTTAATCAAAATACATCCCCCTCGTCCTCAGAAAACCCGAAAGCGGTGGGGTTTCACAAGATGATGGGAGAACGAGCAGTTGGTGCTTGAAGAAGGTTTAGTGGGTTTCAGCGTTGAGATTGAGCTCAAAGCATCCACATCATAGACTAGCATAACGATGAATGAAATCCAGCACCGGAATGATCATCCAATTGACCTCCCGAAGTAGCCACGCCATGGCTCCCGCCATCCAAATCACATGAGCTGTGGATTTTGCTTCAGCGCAACGCCAAGCGGAGCAGGTTTTTGAGGCTACAATAGCGGCGTTCATAAGCTTCTCATCCGAACTTTTCTGGATGATACAAAGGGAGTATTCAGTCGGCAGAAGATTCAAGCATCAAACATGTGTGGATTTCTTCATCACCTCTCTACCTGTCTCTTCTGCTCACTCGCCAACTGCGCAAACTTTCGCAGACTTTCGCCAACTTCGCCCTATCCCAGGGATCAGACATCTTTGGTATAGGCCTCCTGATAGCCCTAGTGTATATAAATCCAGGCACACATTTGCAACTTACCCATGCATACCACAACCACATCCCCGCTTCTCCGCGCATGCTGCGCGGTGCCTCGGGCGACCCGCGGCCGCCAGGCTCCGCCGTGCCCTACTTTTTCACCTCCTTACCTGTGTGGATCGTGGCGGCAGGGAATCTGGCCTGCGCCTGTGTGGGGGGCCCTGAGGGATGGGCGTGGAGTTCCAGGTTCAATCTCTGAGAGTTGGTCTTTGATGTCCGCGTATCAACGGCTCGCCTCCCGGATTGGGAACACAACAGAGAACCGGGTCTGTGTGGAGGATGTTCCTGAAGCAGTTGAACCCACAAAAGCTCAATGAGATCAACCAAGAAGCTGGAGATTTGAAGGTAACCGAACATCAGTTTGAGAACTTGGGAACAATCTTGAACTTCTCCCATGCACTGATGGGCCATTGATGTTTTTTGCTTTCAAGAGGATCCACTTTGTAATGGTTCCCAAATGTAAACACATTCAAGCAAATCAGACTGTCAATAGATTCCACAGGTAGTGCACAATCCAACATGGAGTCATAGAGCGTATTCCAGTAGTTCCAGCACTATTTGGTGCGTCCGAAAGATTTCCACTAATTTCCACTGCTGCTACGTTGGAAGATGTCCTACAAAAACACTAGACATGACATGATAAATGATAAGAATCTGGATTACAACAGCTTGCATTTGTTTCGGACATCTGCTTGGACTAAGTGAACCGGCCTTGGGATAGCTCAGCTTCATCACGCCTACCAGTGGAGTGCGTTTTCAAGCATGTCCACCAGAACCTAGGTCGTAGCCCATCTGCCAGTATTCAGAATAGATTGTCCCATAAGTCAAGAACATCCATTTCCTGAGCACTTTCCAATTTGGCTTGGACTCCATGAGCTTCGGATGTTTGTTTTTTGCACCCAAACCATTGGGCTTTTGCTATGCGGCGAACCCAAAACCCATGGCGGGGTGGTCGGACCTCGCGATGCGCACCTCGTCGCTGTCCTGGTAGCGCCGGCGTCAGGTTGCCCACCGCAGCCACGTGCGGAACCATTTCACTTCGAGGCGAGGTGGCGACGGCGGGGTGACGACGGTGCCAACGGTCGTGGAGGCTTTTTTTCGAAGCGAAGTGAACGTGGAGGGTTGGGACGCGAACAGGGAGGTCTACCTGAGTCTACCTATATTCAAGATTACACACCCAGATAGAGTTTCCGGGGCCAAGAGCTTCAGGGCTTCGACATGGTTTTCTTGGCTCGGTTTTCGCAGACCCGAAAGCAAAAAGAAAGCCCTCCAGTCAGTTTGGGAACATTGCACCTCATAGACAAAAGACGTCTCCTAAAAAACTCTTTGGTAGATTGCCAAGTTATAAGTTATAGGTTTCAAGTTGAAAGAGCTCTCAAACCAGTTACTGTAGCTTTTAGCTGAACACTCTCCTTCAACTAAAAACGCAGCACTGGTTCTTCAAATGGGTCAACCTGCATTCCTCGGTGAAAAGCAGGGCTCTGCCAATAAGCTAAGTGTGGAAAGAGCCTAAGGACGAAGAGATGTGCAAGGGGCGTTTGGTGTTTGGTTCTTTGGGTGTGTCCCGGTAGTAGGAAGAACCGGTAAGGCCCAACCAGTTGGATGTACATTGTCAGTCTCAGTGCGCAACTGGGCGGCAAGGCTGGTGGCGCAGGGCCATTTGGGGTCAAAGGGTTTGGGGTTTCCTTCAGCAGTTGCGATACACTTAAGCCAATGGAGTCGGGTCTCAGGGACCACTACAGGACTGAAGCCGAAAACCAATTAATGGTTTGTAAAGGGGACCACTTTCAGGCTTCAGGGTCCATGTCGGTTTTCCTGTTCAGCTCTCACTTGTGAGCTGATGCCTCACCCACCTGGCTTGATAAGGAAGACGTAAATGAATGGGGGAGTTTGGAGGGAAACAGGGCACATTTCAGGACGCCGGGTGGGAGGGAGCAGTGGACCTTCTGTATCTAGTTTCTGCCCCAAACTCATAGGAGTGAACCTTGAAAGCTTTGCAAGAGCGCTTCAGGCAACGAGAAGTGCGCTCGCGTTCAGGGACAATTCGCAATGAACATAGCACCCCACTGTCTTCCACTGTCTTGAGCTTAGCTTACAATGAGCCACCAAAAACTTGGGTGCTTCTGCCACCAATGCACTGCCAGCAAAGCAGCCTGCAACTCCCAAGAAGGGATATGTCGGAATACCCCGCTGTCACGCCTCGAATCTTGAGCCACCCTGCTGTCACGCATGACTTGTGCGGAAACCCGGCAAGGCAGGTGCGCTGGTACATGCGATTGAACCTGCTCTTCGTACGCCCTCCCTGGTTTTTTCTTGCGGGAGTGGGGTGGGGCAAGGCGACGAAGGGCTGGAGTCGGACGTGGATAGCTTGGAGGGTTTTCGGTGACACTGGGGTCAATCCATTGTCAATCTGAACCCCTCATGCACGAATAGAGGAAGGTTCGCCTCCCAAAGGTCATCCATCAAAGGTGATGAGCCAGGGAGGCCAGATCCGGTAGATTCCAGGGTGCTGCGATGACTGATGAGCCATGTTTGGTACCCTCCTGCAGACTAACAGTTACCCCGAGAACTGACCTGTTGAAGACCATTTTCCTCTACAACCCAGTGGCTATGGGGCATCATTGTGAAATCTGTAGGAGGGTTGGAGGCCATCACTAGTAGGGGGGAGCCCATCGCTTCTAGGTTGGAGGCCATCGCTAATAGAAACAAAGAATAAAGAAAGGAAGACAGGCGTAATATAGTTTGCAATCAACTCCTCATGTTCACCCAAAAGTCCCTCCCCAACACTGAGAGTTTATATACTTTTCGTGCTCAGGCAGGTTCCGGAACAGCCCCAGTTCATCCAGAAAAGACACCAATGGCATACCCCCCAAATAGCAAGACTTCTTTGTGACTTTTATGTACTTGGTCCAAATGGGGTCCTTTCTTCCCTTGTGACAAAAAAGATTGCAGAGCATGCAGAGTCAACACAATATCTCTCTATATATATATATATCTATCTATTTATATATAATACTATATATATAGTTAAGATTTCATGGTAACTAGTGGCCAATTCAATTGAATCAGCTGTATGACTGTATGTACAGTACTATATAGAGGATCCAAACAAAGAGACTTAGAGACTTTGACTCTACCAGCTCTACCAGTTTCTACCAAATGACCACCAGGGTGTTTTGTCGTTTCGTCGGGCTTCCTCCAGGTCAGCACTCGGGTCAGGGTACCTGTGAACCACCGGGGCCTAAGAAGAACATCGTTCGAAGTGGGTAGCACCCAAGGAAAGTCTCCATTGAGAACTGAACATGGCAGGGTCCACAAGCACCAACATGGGAACCTTTGTGTTTATGCTTGGTGCTTTACTTTTCACGATGAACTGACCGATGAACTGATCAACCTTTGAATGAGCTGTTGACGCTAAGTGGTCTACATGATGCGTGCTCATGGTGCGGTTCATGGAAGAATCCTGCACCACAATGCCATCTCAAGGAACGACAACCTTGGTTATGTCGGACACTGCAACCAACTGGTGCCAACGATTTGCCTCAAAAACTCCTTTGCATCAAACCTTACCTTTTGGTCTGAAATACTTGGTCTTGGTTCTGGGAGGTGGCTGAGATCTACCTGTTGAGCCTTTGAGAGTTTTGAGCGTTTTGATGGACATGTTTTTCGCCAGAGGAGGTGCATGGAGGTGCTGTCATAAGTCATAAGTTCTTTCTGGCCACATCACCAGGGTTGTTGAAGTGTCCGTGTCCACGCCCAAAACGGCTCAGCTGGTTTGGCTCCTTTTTTTTCCGAGTCAATCGAAGAAAGAACACACATGCAGTCCTAGAGTCCTAGATGATGGCATCCTCGAAAGTTTGTGGAACCTCCGACAAATTGTTCATTCAGTCTATTGGCCATGCGGAGAGAGAAAGAGAGAGAGGAAACAACACATGGAGTGACATGTTGAGTTGAAGCCGACTCTCATGAACATCGTTTGGATGCTGCACCCACTGAGATTTGCATTTGGAGAAGACCTCTGCCAAGCCCAAGCAATTCTTGGAGCCGATCCTGAAACGGATAGCTTTGGGGGTGCTTCATCCAACACCTTCTTGGAAGTATTCTGGGCTATATGCCCCAACCCTACTCATAAACCTCCGATCCCGGACATCCTCATGCTCTCGGCGCCGATGGCCCCTCCGGGCCCGCGGGTGCTTCCCACGTGGCGCTGCAGCGCCCCGTGGGCGCGGGCACGCGGCACGCGCGTGACGCGTCAGGCGGAGTAGAGGGCGTGACCACTGAAGAACAAGTAGGGGGGGCTCTTGCCAAAAGCGCCTCAACAAATGCCAATTTTGAGACCTGATGGTGCGATCTGGTCTGAACTTCTCAATAGCATAGAGTGCACAGTGCACCCTCTTAAAAAAGAAAACAGTCCTTGGTATTGTTCAGAGTGTCGCGTGGCCATTCAACAGCATGCTGCTGTCGCTAAAGGCTATGCAACACGTAGTGTAGACGTTTACTACTCCATTCTGTCACTGTAGGATCGGGTCACTCATTCTGTGATGGATCTATTTGCCGAATTGCCAAAGATACCTCTGCAAACGTTGTGATGGGTCATGGTCAAATTCTTTGGTCCTCCCAGTGAATTGTTTCATCCATCTCCAGATCAGGAATTGTCTGAACCCGTTTTTCAAATTCATGTTCTTTTTGGTGGGTGGGGGGTTATATACATAAGAGCTACTAGTAACAAGTTTTATCGCTACTAGTAACAAAGGCATTACTACTAGTAACAAGAAACTACTAGTAGCTATGTGCTACTAGTAGTAATGCACTTGTTGCTACTAGCGATGCACTTGTTACTAGTAAGTTTTCGAGTATTTTCCGTAAGGAGAGACGTGTTCTGGGAATCCGATGTCGTTGTGCACCTGCTTTCTCTCCGGTCGCCACGTTAGTGGACCACCCAGCCCAGCTGTTTCCCCGGTTCCCTCATCCGATTTGCACACTACCATGCTGGGGCTTGGAGTTAACCAGACCTTCATCTCGCCCTCCCCAAAGAAGATGTAGACTCAACCACCCAACCAGAACCACCACCCACACACACACTCTGAAGGATAGACACTCACTCTGCTTCGCCAGTTTCGGCTTTGGAGCACGTCGGGCGACCACAAGACCTGCACGACACCCTCCGTGCCACTGAGACCCTCCGTGCCGCCGCCACCGCGAGCGTTTTGGCCGCGTGGCCGCTGCGCTGGCGGCGCGGCGCGGAGCGCGGGGGCGCGGAGCTGAGGGACGCGCTGGAGCGGCGGGGCTACGTGGAGGTCGAGCTGAGCATGGAGGAGGTGAAGCTCTTGGAAGAGGTGAAACTTTGGGAGGGTTTCAAGTGGGATGAACGTGATCAGATGGATTCGAGGGAGGGATGATAGGAGGGAGAGGGGAATTCGATGGGCGATGTGGACGAGATGTGGATGCAGGGTGAAGGGATGGATTGAGGCATGGGGCTATGACATTGGATGGACGATGTCATGGGTTGCTCCAAAAAGCATCACGATTTTCATGGGTTACGGGAGGACGTCCCACAGGGAGTGCACATCGACCCCCCATCCGTTTGGTGGGCATGGTCTTTTCGGGGGGGCGCCGGGCATGCCATCCCGTGGGTTCCATGAGGACGTTCCAAGGGAGAACGTTCCACCAGAACACGTGGAGAGATCTACAGACTGTAAAGGTACCTCATGTGGAGAAAGTCATTTTATTTCACTAGAAGTTACATGTACATTTATGGAGACCTCATGGTACCAGACTGTCATTTAATTTACCTCAACCTGATGTGGTGAAAACGGAATGTCAATCTACAGTGGTTTCAGAGGTTCGATGGCACACTCCCCAAGTTAGGTAGCAAAAAAATGGGAGCTGAGCTACCCATCCAAAAGACATGTAGGAGCTTTCTGCCATCTTCTTTGAAACCACTGTAAATGTACACTCAAACCGCCACGTGCGAACAATCCCGGCGAGTCGTGAGTGGAGGTTTGTTGCTCAATCAGGACATCAGAAGCTGCGGAGTTCAGAGTAGTTTCATAATGTTTCATAAGCCGGAAAAACAAAGGAACGACACTGTGATGATTTGTGATGGATTGCTTGGGCGAACTTTGGTTCAGCAAGAAGGTTGTGAGGGGAGCTTTGATGATTTAAACCCCCGAAAGACCCCTTTTTTTTGGGTCTCAAGGCACCTGATCCATTGTCAACATGAGGCCTTTGAAGCAGGTTGTTCCCTCTTCTCGAATGTGATGCACTTGTGTCATTGTGCCAATGGCCAAACCTCCCACAACTTACAACCTATCAACGGAAGGTTGGCCGTGGAGGGACATGGTGTCTTACTCTGCCCTCGCTTGACCGGCATGGGTGTGTCGCCACAACCATATTGTGGGCACCTGGGGAGCACGTACTGGATGTTTGTACCAAATGATACTGGAAGAACATCATGTCAGTTTGGGGGGACACGACTCAAGTCAGACTCAGACCCAGATCTTTACTGGACAGAAACTGCAACTTTTGAACACTTTCAAATATGATCAATGATCGCTAACATCTTCTTGCAGATGTTGAACGTCCGCCTTCGAACGCAGGCCTTGAGCGTGTTTGCTGAGCGCAAGAGTTTCCGGTACCCGCCAGTGCCAGGCGGAGTCATGTGGGAAGGACAACCATGACAAGGATCCTGGAGTAGATACTTTAGCATACCTTCTCGTCAGAAGGTAATTGGACCCTCCAAATCTACATAAACATGTCTCCAATCACCTTCTTAGAGGGTATGTGGAAGAGCCTGACATGGGTCTGGGTCAACACAAAAAAGACCCACCAGGACCCGCAGTTTTTCCTTTATCAAGAGGGGAATATTCCAGAGAAACAAGGAAGAGCTGCGCTTGTCTGAGCTTTGGATTGGCTCTCATTCTATGAATAACTGAACTGGCTGAAGCATCTCGGTCTTGGAATCTTGGAATCGTGGCCGGAGAATGGAGGCTAGGATGAGATGGATAAGCACTGGTTTCCTATCTTTTTTTGTTGATTTCTTTTTTCTGAGATTCTATGTCATCAGGCATCCAATACTGATAGGATGATTAGATCTCAGCCCCAAAACTGTTCTCTATGCTGTTGGATGTACATATTCATCCCCAGACGTTTCTGTGGTCCAAAAAGCAGCCCCCTCAAATTTGGATGGCTTTCTCAGGTGGCGTTTTGCTCAGGTGGCAGAAGGGTCCAGTCGAGGAAGTCAGTAAGAACCTCTGGGCCCACCGGCCACTTCATCTCATCCAAGCGGTCT